TCTAAGTTCAGTGCTTGATTATTTCGCATTCAAATTCAATATTCGATTTTTTTTAGTTGCACCATGCGTTCAAGCACGGATTATCCTACTAAACCTTAATTATAACTAGTATTACAAGAGGAAAAGACCATTTAGATATGGAGATTATATCCTATGGCAGAAATTTAAGCAGCTACAATTGAGTTTTGTTGGCCATTGCAACAATAGAGTAGGGGTAATTCCGTCATTTTGAACAAACGGTAACATGATTAGACCTTTTGAATTTCCTCTCTCCTCTTCTCCTCTGTCTACCACCTTTTTTCATTCTCTCTCCCTCTCTCTCTCTCTCTATCACACACAGTCATTTTCCTTTGCTCCAAAGTCTTCCTTTCTTCTTCACCTAACCTCAGAAAAAGCTCCTCTGTTCAACAATGGCGTGTACAGACTCCTTCAGCAAACCCCACAGGCTAGTTCAAGACCTAGCTTCTCCGGTTGTTCCAAAGCCAAGTAAGTCCTACACAAACTTCTTATGTAAGTCGTTAATCATTGTCCTTGTTCTTGTTGTTATTCCCCTTTTTCCTTCACAAGCTCCTGAATTTATCCGCCAAAGTATAATCACCAAGTTCTGGGAACTTCTTCACCTTCTGTTCATTGGCATTGCTGTGTCTTATGGCTTGTTTAGTAGAAAAAAAGTCAAATTGGACGTTGAAACTCACTCTAGAAATGATAGTTCACAGAATTATTTGTCTGGAATTCTACAAGTTTCATCAATTTTTGAAGATGGATTTGAGAATTTTTGTGGGTCTGATGAGAAAAAAGGGGTTCAAACTTGGAATTCTCGGTACTTACAGAGTGCATCTATTGGTGCATTCACTAAAGAAGAAGGTAAAGATTACAGATCTTCAGTTTGCAAAAATGGATTTGAGAACCCATATGGGTCTGATGAGAAAAAGGTGACTCAGTACTTCCATGATGAATCCATGGTTGTAATTGCCAATGGAAACTATGGTCTTGACCAATGGGGCAAACCTTTGTCAGATAGTGACTATAAACCCTTGGGTTTACCTATTAGAAGTCTAAGATCAAGAAATGCTGACACTGATACCTCTGAATCCATTAATAGAAGTGGGTCTAGTTCAAGTTTGAGGGATTCTTCCAAGAGAGGTGATAAAATTGACCAAGTAAAATTTAGGGGCATGGCTCCTATTAATTTGGGGGAAAAGTTTAGAGAAGTTGCGGTACCTTCCCCCATCCCTTGGCGATCAAAGTCGGGGAGGATGGAAATGAGAGAAGAAGTAATTTCTGTTAAACCCCCTTCACATACTAGGCCTCTCTCTGTTGGCCAATTTGATCTTGAGAATCTCAAATCGCGGTCATTCCCGTGCCCAAAACCTTCTGAATCTAGTTCCATGTCTGCATCACTGAAGAAACCCTCACATTCTATTTCCCCAGAATTGCCCAACTCAAGAAAGAAGAATTTTGAGGAATCTTCCATGAGAGATTCAAATTCACCATTATCACCAAGAAATGGTGAAGCATCATTCCTTTCTTCAAAGAAAAGGGAATTTAGCATTGGGTCTTCCTCAGAGATGAATGTGCGGAGGAGTTCCATAGATGACTTGAAGAGAGATTTAAGTAATTGTAAAAGGGAGGATCCACTGGGGAGAGAAAAGCAGGATATGGATTCATTGGCCTCGGAAGTGAAATCCTCAACCCTTGTCAAAGGTTTGTCAAGGGGAAAATCGGTTAGAACAATTAGATCGAGTAAGCAATTTGTTGAAACAAAGGAAAAGGCAGAGGGTTATTCAAATCAAAGAGATGACAAATTTGGAATGAAGTGGGATCAAATTGAAGTAACCTCAATGGAAAATCCAGGAAGGAGAGAGAGACCTGAAAATCTTCCAGTTCACTATAGAAAACATAAGATTGATCATCTCTGTCATATTCCAAACTCCACATTTTACCTGTATCAGAATGGAGAAAAGCAAGACACTGCTGACAGTGTAGTGGAGGCCAAAGAGGACTCAGAGTCGGAGAGTGAGTTGGACAACTTTCATGTGAGTTCAGAATCTTCAGATGAAGAAGAAGCTCAATATGACAGTGAGGACGATGCTGAACTTGAAACCAGTGAGGTTGATCGGAAAGCTGGCGAGTTTATAGCCAAGTTTAGAGAGCAAATTAAGCTTCAGAAAACTGCATCAATGGAAAGATACCCTGATTGGTAGATGCTCAACAAGTTAAATTACAAATTTCTGATATGCAAAAGAATTCAATATATAGAGATGATATGAAGTTGATTTGTTATTCCATCTTCCTTTTGTTTTCTGTTTGCATCCCTCACTGTAAATTTAGCTCAAATTTTCATCTAACCTGGGCATTGGTGTAGATTTGTAGTGCATGAGAATAGGAAATTTATTGCAGAAACAGTGTGTTTCTGTTGCTACCTTTCTCAGTTTTGCCCAACATTCTTGCTTGCTTGTGCACATACATACAATGAAGCATTATGTATCTAGGCATGTAGCATTTGGATACAATGACATTTTCCCTATATCAACCAAGTGAAGATAAAGGATTTGGCATTGAAAGAACCAACAAACCTCCTGTATTTGTTTTTNAGCATTTGGATACAATGACATTTTCCCTATATCAACCAAGTGAAGATAAAGGATTTGTCATTGAAAGAACCAACAAACCTCCTGTATTTGTTTATTTTTTTTTTCAAATGGTTTAAAATCGAGGTATTTTCCATCGACTAGGAGAACAATGATACGCATGAGTCTGGTTTCTCAGAATCGTACCGAGTGATACATAAGAAATGCTGCATAGAAGAAGCTTAATACAGTGAAATATATAATTAAGTCATATCGCAGCGTGGCTGAACTGTAATGGTTGAGTTGATTACGATGACTCGAACAACTTGAAGAACAACTTGGTCAAGCAGTGGGAGATGCGTAGTTTACACAAAAAGTGCAAAGGTTTTTAAATATATANAAGAACAACTTGGTCAAGCAGTGGGAGATGCGTAGTTTACACAAAAAGTGCAAAGGTATCAGNTGGTGTGCACCAGTTACAATTGATGCAATTTGTGGATGAGCATTATAGGTCCATTTTGTAAGTCCACTAAATTATTGGGTTTGGAGTTTGATTTCATTATAGTTGGGTTCTAAATTTTGAGAATTATAGGGTAAACATTTTGATGACAGTATAGTCCTAAGAAAGAGGGTTCAGATAAAAACATTGAAAGAATTTTTATAGTCACTTCCACAATCTCTTGAATGATAGTGNTAATCAGAAAGTTCTGAGTCAAATACGAGTCAAACAAATCATATGAATATCGACCGATACTTTAAATCAGTTTTTAGCTGACAGAGGTAGTTATGCTTCACAAGCTTGAAGCTTTGACAGCAAAACCACACTATGCTTACCTCCCTCAGACCCCCATTGTAGGTCGATCGATATTTCGTCCTTTCTTGCCTTTCCCTGCCCAGTTTTCCAAGTTAATTTGTCACAAGCTTTTTATCTGGGGAGTTGTTGTGTCTTCTACAAGCTCTACGGTTTGAACTGATTATATAAAAGTTTCTTGGGTTTTTTTTTTTTTTGAGATTATCTTATACGGCGAACTTGAGGCTTGGAGTCAGGAATCTTCCCCTTTGCATTTCATATGAAAAAGAAAACCACTAGGAGTCTCTTCTTTGAACCTGAAAGATTGGANTCTGGTGAGTTTACTAACAGAGCTTGATTGTATTGCACAGGTTCTTTGGTGCTTGGTAATTTATTAAAAGACTGAGAATTATTGTTTAGGGCAAATTTTTGGTGATATGTGTATTTAAAAATTATCAGGTCAATTCTTTTTCTCCCTCTCTCTTTCTCTTTGCCTCGCACCAAAATGGGTCTATTTGGCTTCAAATCTAGATATTTGTTAGGTTAATCTTTTAAATATCTTTAACCCATACGCAGTGGTTTTTCTGATAATTTTTTATTTAATTGCAGTTGATTCACTTAGTTTACATAAATAAATTGGGATAAAATTTTGTTGAGTTGAGACTAATAGTAACATTGAGAAATTTGTTGAAAAATTAGGGAACAATTCTAGAAACAGTTTTTGTATTATATTTTTGTCCAGTTGTACTGTGAGGCTAAAATAATGATTGTGGAACTATCAAATAAACAGTGTTTAACATAGATTTTTGTCCAGTTCAGTGTGACNAATGAATAATGCTACTATATTTGCTATCTAAAAGCTTGCCCCCACCCTAGCAGACCCTTTCATCATGACTTCAAACGTTGAATGTATCAAGATTTTAACTTTTCATAAGATTATCATGGATTTGTAGGTGATTGTATGTATCCAAAATTTATATTGCATCAATGAAATATGAAGAGTGCATGGTTGTTGCAACGATTTCCCATTACAAAAAGGATAGAAAAAGAAAAAAAACCCATAAATGTCATTTCTAAAGTCTAAAGAGTTACAAATTTTTATGTCTATACGTTGTTGGACCAAAGCACTTAANTGCATCAATGAAATATGAAGAGTGCATGGTTGTTGCAACGATTTCCCATTACAAAAAGGATAGAAAAAGAAAAAAAAACCCATAAATGTCATTTCTAAAGTCTAAAGAGTTACAAATTTTTATGTCTATACGTTGTTGGACCAAAGCACTTAACGTTGCACCAAAACCCACAGGTCGGATTGGTTAAACCCCCCACTGAGTCTCAGGAAGCACCTCTACAAAGGCCAATGTGCGCATGCGCGTGTTTGCATATATTGCAATGAACATTCGTTTACCGGTTTATGTCTATGTTCATGCCATGAACCACCCATTTTACCATTCATAGACCAACATTTAGTGTCAAGATTACTAGATAATTTCAGTATGTTAGCCTGAAAGCACTGGTCTTTAGAACATTCGCCTACCTCAGTCGGTTTGCAAGTCACCTTGAACCTCCTCTGTAGTACTGAACTGGTTTTTTGTCTCATTTGTTTTTGTAAAACGATGGGACATCATGATAGGCCAGTAAAACAGAAAACAACAACATGCTAAGGAAGAGAAAAAGGGTAAGGAACATACCTGTGATACATAGTAATGCTTCTATTCTATGTCACACAAACAACAAACATGAAACATATCTCTGCCTGCTCCAGCGTCAACTGTCAACCAAGTTGATTGTGCTCGTAGTCGGGTGGTAAGGCATTTTGATGGGATTCAAATGATAAACATCATTTTCAACTTGCCGGCTATGAGGTAAGAGTGAACCAGCACTGTCCATTAAAACGCCCAAGAAGAAAAGCAAACAGATTTAAAACAAAGCACTGAAATGAAAATGGGGTAGTAACAGAATCTGATAGTACAATCAGTAAATATTTGTAACAATCATCATCAAAATCCTCTGGAAGAGAAGCATTGTTCGAGACTGAATCAACAAATGGGAGACATGAGAAAAGACTGGGCAAAAAATGACAAAATAGTTCCTTGATAATAAAAGAATCGTCCCTCGAGATTATTGCAGCTTGTTGCCTAATAGTCTTTGAAAGGTTTACAAGGATTCATGTATACATATGTACAGATTCTAATATCAAATACCTGTTGATGTATGCAAAACAAAACACTAGCAAATGAATGTTATAGTAAAACCACTACACCTCTCAAGAGATTACAATATAATTGATACAACAGATAAAAAGTCACATCTACAAGAATTGCAGAAAACTATACGTAACTATTCAGCTTCTTCTGCAGGTGCCCTATGGTAGACAATTGTCTCGTTGGAACTTATAGGATTTGCATGATACTGCCCATAAAAAGCATAAATACNAATGTGTATTTAACGAATATTTCTAATTTTTTGATTTACTCTATTTGTTATATTTGTAACCATCATAGTGTACTAATCACCTTTGCAACCTCACAACATTGAAAAATGAAAGATCTCACCATTTTTTGTCATAATTTTAAAATTTCTGTCGTGTACTAAATTTAACTGTTTTTGTAAATGTTATATTGTTGTACATTCCTCCCAANCAAATCTCACCCAGGCTTCATAGTGTAACTACAAAATAAAGTCGGTAATCAGCTTGGGTGCATTAATCAATTCTTTATATTTTGTTTCAGAATTATGTTTTTGCAGTGTTCATGTAGTTTGTAGCAGTGCTTTATAAGCAACCTGAGCAAAAAGGAACATGTTGAAGNGTACTAAATTTAACTGTTTTTGTAAATGTTATATTGTTGTACATTCCTCCCAATTGGAAGATGCGAATTTGGATTGATACAATGACATTCAAGGCTGTGATGGAGAGAGAGTATTTACAATGACGTGCGGATAAATAACCAATTTTGCAAATGTATTATATATAATTACGTTTTGTGGTCATTGTTCAATCTTATTTATGTTTAGGCACAACTACGAGTTTATTTTGCAATGATACTATATGTTTAGACACAACTATGAGTTTGTGACGTGCAAAATAATGGTTATTATTGTTTTGATGCCTAAAGTAATTGGTAAATAGTCATGTTTAGGTATGACGATGGTTAATATTATGATGTTTTTTTTGGTAATCAGCATGCAAATGACATGGTTTGGTTATGATTATAAAATATATAAGTTTTGTAAACAGATTGATTTATTTGTGGTATCATATTTTTAAAGGATACTATGTCGAAAAATTAAAATTTTCTTACATTAATTTCAATTTCTCTCATTACATGATTTTTGAATTACGCAAATTTTTTAGTGACCCAAACTGTAATTTAATACCTCTAGCTTGATTTTTGTTCATTCATTGAGATAGAGATTGATTTATAAATAGTTTATGTCATTTTGTTTTGTGATTAAAGTAGTCTGTGATTGAAAAATTTTATGGGTTTATTTCAATTTTTTAAGAATCTTATGTTCTGCTGTCACTTTTACAAATATGGATATAGTTATTTGNAGTGTTTTTGCATGATTGGTGGTTGAAAAGAAGCTTCATGTTGGGCTTACCTAAAATAGAGGTAGTTACCTCACATCATTATTCTTAAAGATTATTAATCTAGGTAGTTGCGGTATTGATTTTTCTGCTTTTAGGTTTGTCGTAACCGGCTGTTGCAAGTAATAGTCAATGAAATACAATTCCCATGAATTATGTGTTGTGTATATAACAGCTATAATCTCACAAAAACCACAATGAACAACCACATAAAAACCAACAGCATAGTCGCAAACAGACGCACACACAACAACATCACACACACACACACACAGTGCAACAACATTCAATTTGGGTTAATTTGAGTTTTTGAATGTTTGTGTTCAATTTTTGGCTTTTTTTATATTTGGGTATTTTTAATTTAGATGTCTTTATAATGGGTGTTTAAATTGAGCCTTTTTAATTTTTGTTTAATCCCAGGTACACCCCCTTCTCTCACTCTGTCTCTATCTCTCTTTCTCCCTCTTCCTCTTTCATGACAAACAATCGCAAACACACACAAACTTCACCCAAACAAAAACACAGGAGC